GGTTCTACGTGTCAGTACATGGCACATCACCGGGGCTCAGAAAATGTTCATGGGATGAACGTGTGACATGTGACTTCATAATTTGTCTTTTCATACCTTTTTCTTATGTAGCAGTAAAAAATAGCAAGAAAACCACTTAGAAGTAATCCCACGCCAATCCCAACTGCAATGTACTTCTCCTGAGAATCCACAGCGTATGATGTTAACGTCAGGTGCTCACACCTTTCTCCAGTGTAGCCAGTAAAACACCTTTTTAAAAGAAGACAAAAATATATATCTATATCTATATGATTTTAAAGCCCATACAAAGAAATAACTTATTTCAAAAAAAAAATTTTTAGAGAAAGAAATCTAAATTAAAGACGCAAACACCAAATGGGAGGGGACCTGTTAAAGGTAAGGAAGTAGCTGTGACCTTCCCCGTAACACTCAGGCCCCACGTCTCCCTCCCTGGGGGGGGGGGCGGGGAGTGTGCTTGCATGAGTTAGACTAGAAGATTGCCAGCCGACTCGCCCATAGGAGGACGCCGAGCAAAGCAGTGATCACAAAATCCATATCTGTGCTGCCCTGATCTCGCAGTTTATATTTCTGACATGTTTTTGCCTTAGTCTGTTTTTTGTTTGTTTGTTTCATCACACAAACAAAGCTGTGATAACCTGGAATCACCTTTGCGTGTTGCTAATGGTGCAGATTCTGGCTCAGCAGACCTGGGGGGGAGCATGGCCGGCACTTCTAACAAGCATCCGAGTCCCACAAATGCTACTCGTCTGGGAACCATATTTTGAGCAGTGAGGATCGTATACAGCTTAGAAAAAGGTTCCTTAGATGTCCGAATACATTTGAGGATGGCTGAGTCGTGTTCAGATCGGGCACCCTCTTTGTCTGACTAGATAGAGGACTGTGGAAATGCCAGGTGGGACGGCAGAGGCACACACTCACCTTGCTGTCGTGGGACTTGGAAATGTCTCTGCACTTACCTGCAGATGGCTTTGGCTAGTTCATGGTGGAAGGCACAAACGCCATTGATGCAGTAACTGTTGTGGTCTTCCAGGCAAGGGTGTGAGAACCTCAAGGCTATGGCCCCTTCCGTGTTGTTGGCTTGCACAAGGAGATACAACGGTCACATTTTAAGCGTGTGCTATTTTTATGGCAATTGTGAAATACATACGTAAAGACATTTTTTTTATTTTAAGTATATAGTTAGTGGGGGCTTTGTCCTTTGTTTTGTTTTTGCTGTTCTTGTCCTTTGAACTATTGATTCTTTCAGCAGTTTATATTCACAAGGGTTAGGTCAACGTCTTCTAGAAATATCATTCATCAGTTAGGGGGTGGACGTGGACTGACAATTGCCCCATTTTTCAGAAGCTACACGGACCGGGACAGAGACAAGTTTGCCAAAAGGTGGCAGCATCGGTCCTGTCTCACCACCG